CACTGCTCCTGACATCATATCTTGCTGGACTTCACAGCACCTGCTCTTCTAAACTGCTCAAGCTGTGCACCCTCAAACGTGACCACATGCCAAAACGTATCACACACCCCCTCACTTTCATGCTAGGACAGCACCCTTCTCACAGCCTGTAACACAGTTTTTCATCATTTCAGATACTTCAAAGTATCTAAAAAGATAACACAAAAGAAATCAGAAGGGGAAGTTGGGTCTCTAGGGGCACCAGAAAGAGTCCTAGGAGGACTGTGGGATGTGAATATGGGAGTCTGCTCAAGAGAGAACTAGCTCCAGCTAGTGTGAATATAAGCTATATATGTTCCCCTTATATTCCCAATATAAGTCCTTCTTTACATCAGGGACTTTTTTTTTTTTTTTTTTTTTTTTTTTTTTTTTTTTTTTTTTTTTTTTTTTTTTTTTTTTTTTAAGAAATACAAGTTTGCTCTCTGAAATCAGATAGTGTGAATCCACAGCATTTTTACAGATTACCTGAGCTTAGATTGCCTTCATCTGTTCTGAGTACCAAGTGTGAATGAGTCTAGCACAGGCTTATACAGACACACAAAGCCAGCAACTCACATGCATAATTACTGTTCTTTAAACAATCTGTGACGTGAGGATTCTCCAGCCCAGTTCACAGATGCCCCCGTTGAGACTCCTGCAAAATTAAAATGATTTGTCTTCTGAATAAAAAAATATACAGAGAAGAAAGTGCATTTCTGTAACTTCAAACAAAATCTGGATTCAAGAGCAAGCATCTCCTTACACAGTCCATGTTGGGAGTAAATGAACCATACCAAAGGTCAGTAAATGTCAATGTTCTGTAATTTTCAGCCTTCAGAGGATCAAAGAAATCTAAAGAAGTGGTTCAAGTTGAGACATTTGGCAAAATAATGAGGTGGAAAGCTTTCAAAGTTTTCTGGAGAAAAAACTCCACAGTAATTGGACATAATTCTTAATATCTTCATTTAGGCACTAGTAAAGAAAAATGCTGTTTCCTTTTCTAAGCTAATGAAATGTCAACAAAAGAAAATTGTGGTATAAAAGAGCTGTTTTTCAGTTGTTTTCAGGACGTAAGAGGTTTGTTTATTCAAAAATCTGTGACACTAGCAAATAAGCTGATCACTTTAAACAGTTTGCCAGGTGTTTTGGTTTTTGTTTAGCTTTTATTTTCATTTTCAGTTGTACTTGTACAATAAATTAATTTTGCTAGAAATAGCAACCAGTTCAGCGCGGATTTTTTTTTTTTTTTAACAATTAATCTCCTTACCTGGCATACTTTTGCTGCCTTAGTGCAGCCCAAGGAACTGATCTTGAAAATGCCCAGGGAGATTAAAAGATAAGCTTCAGCCGATTGTTGAAGGATAACTTGGAACCCTAATTGATCAGTCATTTGGGGAATTTCATTGTTGTTGCTTCACCTCTTCAATCAGCCAGTCCAAAGGGATCTCACTAGTACCTCTAAGTAGGAATTTTGACTAGATTGTCAAAGCTTCCAGAAATAATCTATTTTTAAGTGCTAAGTATCTAAATGCAAATTGAGTGGAAACAGCTGTTATTTACATTCTGTGGACACGTGGTTTCACTTCCTGATGGATAGGGGAAGAAAAAAAGTCACTGAAAGATTGAAGTGCCATTAAAGAAAATGGAAAAATAGGGATCTAATAAAAATAAATGCAATGGACCACACTGTCAGGTGGCCTAAATTGGTAAAGCTTTACAGGTTTGCCACCACAACATTATATAGCCCACCTGCCAGGAGGATGTGAAGAGCCCCATGTATTTCTTGGAGAAAGTGGGGGAGGAGTTGAAGGAATGAAACAAAAGCATATGAAGAAATTCATGTTTCAGCCTTTTATGCAACGGCTAACAGAGAACCAGGCGTTTTCAGAAATAGTCTCACAGAACAAAGCCCCCATTCACAACAAGATTTTGCTGTGGACTTATGTTAGTTTGAGATTATGTTCTGCAAAAATTACAAAAGCTCCTGAAAAATGTAAGCAGCATATTCTAGACCAGTGTGCCTGAAAGTAAGAGGGCTGTGCTGGAGAGAAAAGAAAGCACAGTGTGAAATTTCCCCATTTCAATGAACTCAAGCTTTTTATGAGCCTGGCAGAGACCCTCCTGTGTGTCTTCTGTACCTGGCCCCCTTCACTTACCTGGAGCAGATCCCTGCTGTCACTGAAAGCTCATGCTCCCTTCTGCCACACCTTCTGTCTGTAACGTCACCAACAACCACCTAGCGAAGAAAGAAGTAATAGACTGTCCTCAGAAGAGGTTAGGCACATTTAAAAACGTACACAAAATATGGCTGCTAATTTCATTTGGACCAAACCCACTCAGTCAAATCAGCAATAAGAACGTGGGACGGGGAATTAAAAGTGGGATTTTTTGCTGGGCTTTCCTTATAGAAAGAAAACGACTTGTCATACTCGGCGCAGTTAAAGCTCAAGCACCACAGAAACATTGATTCTTAAGTGCCTGTTGAGTGATTCCCTCCAAGATTAGTTCTGTTTGGCTTAGGATTGCTTTGTGCCTGCCAGCACTTAACCTGTCATAACACAGGCAAAGGTAGAACAGAAATTTCATTCTTATTCCATTTCAGATACACTCTTGCCTACTGTTCTGTCTTAGGCAAACAATACGTCCAATGTCTAAATGCATCCTTTAGTTCCTTCCCAGAACAAAGACTGATCTACAGCAGCAGGTTTTGCAGCTTCCTTCCATCTAGCATTATGTGGCATGAAATGCTGCGGGAAAATTCTGCTGTGCCTCAGGCATCTTTCTGGATCAAATTTATTCAGAGAGGGATAATTTATCAGAGAAGTGAGCTCTGAAGAGACTACTAAAAATAGTGTTAAAATTTTGAAATACATGGCAATGGCACTGAAAGTCAGAAAACACATCTAGCCCAAGCTCACACTTTATAAAAGGCTTTGAATATTTTGTAATAATTATGGATATTATTTCCCCTCCTCCGTTAATTTATAAAGACAGAGAGATAATAACAAACTTCAGCAAATCTGAGTTTGGTTACATCGAGCCATCTGTTAATTCTGGTATATGGCAGTAGAGGGCATCTAAGGACTTCAAGTCACATATGGTAAGGGATTAAAATCAGATGGCTGAAGGAGTTAGTTCGTTTACCCCACCCCGTGACAACTTGCCACCTCAAGACCAAACAGCTCACGAAGCTGCTCCTGAACGATGGTAATTTCTAGCCATGCTGAAACTGGAGTTGACCTTAACACACCAGACTGAAAGCTGAAGTTGTTTAGGAGGAGATGCAGGAGTTAATTTTTCTTCCCTGCTGGAAGCAGCACTGTGTCAGTCACTGGAAGGATGGTTTCAGATACAGTACAGGGGGAGATAGTAACTGCCTCAAGCAGTCTATCCAATTTTACCTACTACTGTTTGAGCTTTAATTTCCATATAGCTGGCAAAACTGCTTACAGGAGGAGCAAGCAATTCTGGGAATGACAGGCCGTGCCAAGAGAAGGAAAGCTATGGACCAATGCTCTTTCCTTAACCAGAAAGAGTAGACCTATGTCTGTTTCCTCTGCTGAGCCTAAAAAATGCCAGTCTGTCTGTCTGTCTGGCCAGTACTTCAGTTTATGTCCTCCCAACATGCTAATCAGTTATAGAACAATGCCTTGAGCCACCCTGACAAAAAGCAAGCACGAATCCTGACAAATAGAGAGAAGATAGTTGGCAGCTAGAAGTGTTTTCTTGTCATCTATCCAGGTTTGTATGACATTGCACATCCAGCTTTTCTCTATACTGAAGCAGGGAAAGCAGCCATGCCTGTCTTCAGCCAAAAGAAGCCAACACATCAGAGGCAGGTTAAGTTCATTACCTGACATTAGCACTTAACGCACTAATCTGAAAAATGTATTTGAGCCCATATTTTCGGTTTAAAAGAAGTTTAAAATTACATAAACACATTAGTAGACATTGATTAGCCTGTTATTCAAACTCCTAAATACAGCAACCTGTCAGGCCTTATGCTGAAGTCTATTATAGCCTTATCCTGAAATTTAAAAGTGGCTCATGCCCAGGAAAAGGTTCTATAACTCATTTAATGACCCACAGCACTTCTGAAATGATATTCATGTGTCTGCTCCCCATGGCAGCACTTTTCATCATAAACACTTAATTGTAGGAATTCATCCACAAGGCCAAATAATTCTGCGTGAATTAAACCATCTTTAATATAAGAACTAGAACAGTGATTTTAAAATAATCTTTTCCTGATGGGAGGCCATTTATTCAGAGACATATAACCCAATTTCTTCTTCATTTTCCTTTGCACTCAAAAATCTCCCCTTTAGAGATAGCCAATTCATCACCTGTTTTGGTTTTCCTTATTAGTTTCAGAACTGAACCTTTGCCAACAAAGGAACTTTAATTACTTAAGGATTGGTCGAGCACAGCAGAGCTGCCTTCATGCTGTCTGTCAGGAAAACTTTTTTCACAGACATTACTTGCTCTCTCTTACTTTGGGAAGTAGGACTTGCAACTGGCAAGAAAACATCTCAAACCTCCTCAGTCTTAAAAGGCTTGTTTTTTCTGGCACCACCTAGAACAAGAATGCAAGATTTCACAGTGCTTTCAGCTGTGCTATCTCTAGGATTTTTCTCAAACAAAGAGTGTATATTTTCTCTAAAAATCCAGAACTTCAAGGAGCGTGTTTCTGAATATGTGTATGTATAGGTGTATGTGTATATCTATATCTATATGCTCTTTCTCAGACAAAAGAACAAGGTAAATAAATATTAGTCACAACATCTTATACTATAATCTGAATATTAAAATCCATAGCATATATTCTCCTAGTAGTTGTTTGAAATGAGTGTACCAAAATGGTCCTTTCCAGCAGTCTTTTTTTCTACTTTTTTTCTTCCTACAGCTTTTCCTTCAGTAACTTCCAGCAATATTTAACTAGTGTTAGTCAGAGTGAAATTGGATAATTCACAAAATAACAAAGTAATAGACCAGAATTCTGCTGTTTATAAAGAAGCCTAACATAGGATAAAGTGAAAAATGCTGTGTTAATGATCTTTTTTTTTTTTTTTGTACTTAGTACTCTGTGTCACCACATTCTACTTTTTCGTTATGAGTCTATCCAAATTATTTTTATGTTATTCTGGTTTTACTTAAAACTACTAAGCAGTAGAGAAACTAAGAAAGCATTACATTTAATTATTTTCACTGAAGATCCTAAGTGTGTCTAGATAACCTCTTACTCAGTGCAGTTGAGGCCTTTAGTTTTAAATAGTAGATAGCCCGTGATGAGGTGAGAGCTGGACTTAAATGCCATCTTTTTCCGGTCAGTTCCATGCTAGTTGCTGGTCATGTACCTACCTATCCGCGGAACTAAAGAAAATGATCCTTTGTTATCTCAACCATCTCTGAAAGAAAAGAATATGGATGTAATTTCAAAGTACTACTCTCATAGGGCCATCTCTTGATGGTTTGCTTTTAAACTAAAAGCACTGATTTTCTTTTAGAGCACCCCTGATTCACAGAAAGTATTCACTGAATTTTTTGTTATTCTCCTTTACCAAATGTATATTCTCAAGAAAGACAAAGCATTCACATCTGAAGACATAAAAATGGCAGTAAATAAGGTGGCAGCTGGTAAGTAGTAAAATTATCTGGTATAAATCATAACTTATTTCATCAAAACATTCTGTTCCTCAGGAAGCTGGAAAGAGCGGGGTGATTCCATTTATGAAAACATTTGCTTTCTCTATGTTTTATTTATTATGTTTTAGGAACTCTTTGTGAAACAGGCAAACCTTCCTCCTGACTGCTAAGTGAGAAATTCCCTAAGTTCACATTGCAGACCTTGTTTGTGGTGTAGAGCTATAGTTAACTTGTTCCAGTTTGCTGGAACTAAAGGCTCAATATTCATATTTCTCTGCTCGAGAACCAGACTGTAATCCACAGACAGGGAGGACCTATGGCAGTTGTACACTGTTATTTTGATCAGTTCAGGTAAACAGTTATCAAAATATGGTCAATAAGAAGAGGTGTGTGATATGCCATAGCTGGCCTTTAAACTAAAGGGTATTTTTTCCTGACCAAATGGTATGTCATAGATAATGGATATTCTGTGCTGCAACTTTGGGAAGTAAAGATGCAGAGAGCAAGGAAAGGCCCCTCATATTCTTCCAGGCAGGTAGGTAAATCTAGCTTAATAAATCAGCAAGTCTTTTCAGCATATCAGAGCAAATTTAGCAAAATCAGCTGGGTCAAAAACATTACCCCCTCCTCTGCTTATGTCATATTATGTAAATAAATCGGCATGCTAGCTCTCCAGTAAATTTGGCATAATTTTCAGGAACAAAGTGAAAATAATTTCTAGCAACAGGCACTTCACACAACTGTAAAAATGGTTTTGCCTCCTTCCTTCATCACGAAAGGGATTTTTGCCTAAAGGAAAAATAAAAAATAAACCCATTCATCCCTCCCTGTCTTGGGCACATGTGTTTAAAATCAAGTAAAAAACAATATATTCTGCTGGTGATTTTAAATAACTCTTAATGTTCATGTTTTCACTACTAATATAAAACTCAGTTAAATGTATCTACAATCAGGATGATATACACTGAGAACCAAAGTGTTCAGGAAC